CCTGCTGAAGAACTCCTGTCTTGAAGTTTGTTTGTTTGTTTGTTTTTTTAAAATTGTCTGACGTCAACTCTGACCTGGAATCATTGAAGCAAATGTTTCTTTTTAAATATCGGCCACAGTTTGATGATTTGTGCTGCACTGAATGCATGACGTTGTTATTGACCACTGTGAGGTTATGGGGTGTCCTGTGTCACAACATGTGGCCTAGATCAGTGGTTCTCAAACTGTGGTACGGTGTACCACCAGTGGTACGTGAGCGCTCTCTAGTGGTACGCAGGGAAAATTCATATTTTTAATTGAATAAATCTGAAACATGGACAATTAATACAACACTTCAACATAAACATCTCTCCTGTGGTGGGCGCTAACAGGGACTGTATTCTAATGTTGGTCATCATGGTGGTACTCTGAGAGTACTCTGAGAGTACTCTGAGAGTACTCTGTTTTCTCAGGTGGTACAGAGTATAACAGGTTTGAGAACCACTGGCCCAGATGAAGTACCAATGTTTGCCACTAGGTTGGATGTGTGTGGATAGAAAGTGTTTTTGCTCTGGCTTTTTTAATGTTTCTTTGTATGGCCTTTTTAAATAAACATCACCGTTCATTCCTGTCTTGTTTGAGGGTCTGAGTGCAGAAAAAAACAAGTACTGACACGACTACTTACCAAAGATGTCAAATGTTAAACCGTGCCATAATTTTATTTACCAGATTACTACATTGATGGTGGCACAAATGGAGAGTCCGGGGAATCGAGCGGCTCACAGGACAGCCCGTCATCTAACACCACGCCACCAGGGGGACAGAGCTCGTACGGCTCGTACTACCAGAATGACGGGGGCTACAGCGCCGCCTCTGCTGCTAAAGCCCCTAAAAAGAAACCCCCCGTGCACAAAGGAGCAAAAGCGTCATTTCAAGGTCCTCCTGGAACAAACGGTGGATCTTCAGGAGGCTACCAGTCCAGCAGTCCTGGAGGTCAGGGGTCGTACAACCAGTACAGCCAGGGTTACGGACAAGGAAAGAAAAGTTTTAACCAGAACCAAGGAGGCACGGGTGGATACATGTACAGCACCGCCTACCCAAGCCAGGTGACGGGTGGAGCTGGAGGTAACCAGGACTACAGCTACGAGGGTGAGAGTCAGAGTCCAGTCACGGATCTGTTGTGTACTTAAAAACTGCTTGGTTTTTTTTCTATACATTGGCACCTTTTGTGGTCAGTGACCCTCATGTTTGTGAAACAGCTGTCTCTTTATAACTCTATCTTAATTTTTTTTTCAAACATATGGTGTATTTCAAATCCATAACTTTTCCTCCCCCCCTCGTTCACTCAGGATACAGCAGTCAGTCCAGCTACGGCTCACAGGGAGGAGGTGGAGGTAGTCAGGGCTTCGGCAGCAGCAGCCACTCTCAGTACCACAACCAAACAGGCTACGGCCGAGGAGACGGCAGCATGAGCTACCAGTACAGATAGAGGGTGAGACGGTGTGAGTCATCGGTACCAGGTGTGCTGCGGTGTCTGGACCAGTCTCCAGAGAACGTTGACGGACTCCTTCCACAGCTTCGTATGTGCTTTGGTGTTGATATTGTATGTAGCACGCGTGGGCACAAATGAAACGTCAGACTTGACATGTGGCTGAGTCCAGTGGTCTGGGTAGAGTTTAGTTCTGTGTTTTAGGTTCTTTCTTTTTTTTTTTTTTGGTTAATCTGTGTTAGCGGTTCTCCACACCTGATGTGAACGTCTGCTGACTCAGCACATTCTTTACTCGTGTGAAACTAAAACATCTTCTTTAAAGCAACAAAGATTGTATTGTTTTTGTTTGATCCATGAACCCAGGTCTTTTATTTGTCGGATTTTAACATTGTGTTGGTTATTTTGAACATGTTTTGACAGTTACTGGACAGAACATAAATGCATTCTGTGAAATCCACACGTACTAGCATTTAGATGGAGATGGATTTGTTCTTGTGAATGTCAACAGTGTGTATTAAAGGATTTTTATTTTAAAATGAACTCAAGTGTCAGTTGGGAGTTTTTGGAGTCCAGAAAATTATACTTTTGCTAAAAACAAAATAAATAAATCATGTAGTTTAGAAAGAATACGAGGCAAAGGACAACGGCTGCACCACACTGCCACCTAGCTGTGGAAAATGAACAGAATTATTTCTGACATGATCAGAAATGATAAGATATTATAAATAATTCCTAACAGACCACTGGTGTTTAAAATGTTAAAATATTAACGTTAACGTGTGTGTTAAAATCTTCCCAACTCATTCGCCTGTCGGTAATATCATGAAATCCAACAGTCCCTGAACGCAGCACAAAAACAAATATTTGATTTGCTTCGGTTTAATGACTGACGAAAACACCTAACTGATGTACAGCAGTCGGACTTTTACTGTTTTTTAACCAAACATAAATCAACGACTGCGCGTATAAATGTGGGTCTTCATGGAAGCTGACGTCACATCCGCTCTCTTCTTCGTGACGCAGGGTTCCAGCATGGCGGACACCGGTGTGGTGGAGACGCTCCTCCAGCGGATTGAGAAGGCGGACGACGGTGTGGACAGTCTCCAGTTGGCCACCAGCCTCGGGGTCGACCACCAGACCGTCGTCGGGGCCGTGAAAAGTCTTCAGGCTGTCGGCGACGTGAGTTTTATTGGAGTAGTAGTGAGCGGAAGTTGTAGTCAACAATGGGAATGATGCAATGAGAAGGTTTAAGTTTGTAGTTTAGAGCAACGTTAAAAACAAACAAACATTTTAATTGGGCTCAATGAGAAAGACATGTATTTACTGATTTAATTAATGTTTTTAAGCAACAAGTCTTCGTTGTTAACGCCAAGGTGTTAATTATCAAACTAATCCCAGCTGAGGTCCGGCTTCTGCCGCTCGTGTCGGTGTTTTTTTTTTTTTAATCGCAGACACGTTTAACAGGAAGAGCTCAGGTGACGATCACCGACACCGGTCTGTGTTATCGAGCCAGAGTAGACGGTGGAACCGAGGAAGCGAAATGGAACACGGCCCGAAATTATAACAGCTGATCGATTCTTCCTGGAGAATCAACACACGTTACTGAAACACTGGCTAAACTAAAACTAAACTAAAGTTGTCCCTCCGTGCAGATCATCTCCGCAGACCTCCGCTCCTCCAAGCGCTGGGAGCTGACAGAGGAGGGCACAGAGACCGCTGAACATGGCAGTCACGAAGCCCGGGTTTTCGGTTCCATTCCGTTGGAGGGTCTGGCACAGAGTGAACTCATGGTGAGTGCTGCAGAACTGGGCTGCGACCTAAAAAAGTCTGGTGTTGACCATGTGCTTCTGTCCCCGTAGAAACTGTCCTTTGGGAAGATCGGCTTCAGCAAAGCCATGTCCAACAAGTGGATCAGACTGGACAAAGGACACGAGGGGGGGCCACGGATATTCAGGAGTGTATGTGTGGGCTCTGTTTGCTGCTCGTGAACACTGCCGTCTGTTGTTGTTAGAACATGTTCTGTGTCGGTAGGTGGAGAACATAGAAGACCAGGTGAGAGAGAGGCTGCTCCTGGTCCAGACAGGCAGCAGCTCCGAGCTGGAGGAGAAGGAGAAGAACGAACTGAAGAAGAGGAAGCTGCTCTCTGAAGTGTATGTCCACACCTACCCATGTCTGCCAGCAGGTGGCAGGAGAGGCTCTGTCATTCAGTGCCTGGTTGTTGAAGAGTCGGTTCTGTGTCTGTGTTTAGGACAGTGAAGACGTACTGGATCACCAGAGGAGACTCCTTCAGCACCACCGTCACCAAACAGGAGACGGAGCTCAGTGCTGAGATGATCGCCAGGTGAGTCCACCCCCGTGACCCCTGTGACCCCACGGTGGTGTCCTGTTCCACCTCCTCTGTCCAACAGTGACTTTGTGAAGGGTTTTGAACAGAGGACGCAGAAAAAACACACACACCTGCTCATTCAAAGGGGACGAGTCCAAAGACCAGGACTTTGTCCTAAAGGCAGAGCAGGACAATATATTTATATATTTGACCGTGAAGGTCGTTGTTGTTGTTGACGTCGTTGTTGAACGTTTCCTCTGGTGATCTCCTGCAGCGGCAGCTGGAAAGAGAAGAAGTTTAAGCCGTACAACTTCGAGGCCCTGGGCGTGGCTCCAGAGTGCGGTCATCTGCATCCGTTAATGAAGGTTCGGACACAGTTCAGGCAGATCTTTCTAGAAATGGGGTGAGAGTCTGGGACCAACCAGTCTATGAAGTCCATGAAGACCCGTCCTTCAAGACAGTTCACAGATGGAACAGCCTTTTATTTCTGTTGTTTTTTTTTCAGCTTCACTGAGATGCCGACCAACAACTTCATCGAAAGCTCCTTCTGGAACTTTGACTCTCTGTTCCAGCCCCAGCAGCATCCAGCCAGGGACCAACACGACACCTTCTTCCTCTCTGGTAAAGTTCATCACACGACAGGGATTTGATTTTCCCAACCACAGTATGAGTGAGGGGCTCACAGACCCCCACCTCTCATTCAACGTGGGCTCAAACTGTGGTGCCTCAACCCGCAGTGTGAACGGTAGAAGTGGCGACCCCTCGACTTTGGTCCGGTCTTATGATAAAACACTGAAATGAGGATTAGAGATGAAGATGAAAATGAACTGACAAATTATTAATTAGTGAATTTATTTCAGTTTCTTCTTGTTTCAGATCCAGCTCTTTCTCATGAATTCCCTCAGGATTATCTGGAGAGAGTGAAGAAGGTTCACTCAGAGGGGGGCTACGGTTCTCAGGGGTAGGTCACGCTGACACCCACCCGAACCATCGTCTTCATCCTCATCATCATCACGGTCGGCTCGATCAGTGGCGCCCCCTCTCTGTTGTTTCAGGTACAAGTACGACTGGAAGGTGGAGGAGGCTCAGAAGAACATCCTGCGGACTCACACCACGGCCGTCAGCGCACGCATGTTGTATAAACTGGCCCAGCAGGTGAGCGGCGCGGGAAACACGCACGTCCTCAAATAAATAAATAAATACAAAGTTTGTGGAGTTGTGTCAAAACTTCCTCTTCATCGACAGGAGAAATTTACACCCGTCAAATATTTCTCCATCGACCGCGTCTTCAGAAATGAGACCCTGGACGCCACGCATCTGGCCGAGTTCCACCAGATAGAGGGCGTAGTAGCCGACTACGGCCTCACACTTGGAGACCTGATGGGCGTCCTGCACCAGTTCTTCACCAAGCTAGGTCAGTGACCCTGGGGGGACTGAGGGGGTGGAACCAGTAAGACCGTTTTTAGGACTTATTTTAATTAAACATAAATTCTAATCATCGTTAAAGGTTTATTGTGATGTCATAAAAGTACATTAAAACTTTTACACATTGACAAATTAAAAACAGTTCTGAGAACTGACTTTGGTTAGAACTTTATTGAATGTTCAGCTGTCGTTGGCATTTATTACACAGCAGCGACACCTGCTGGTTGGTTAAAGCCACATACCGTCAGACTGTTCTCTGTCTGTTCTCTGTAGGAATCACCAAGCTACGGTTCAAACCCGCCTTCAACCCGTACACGGAGCCCAGCATGGAGGTGTTCAGCTACCATGAAGGTAACCTTTGACCCCGGGTCAGTGTCCTGTTTGTCCTCCTCTGTCCACCAATGACGGAGTGAAGGGTCTCAAACAAAGGACGCACAGAGACATCTGCCCATGAAAAGGGGACACGTCCACAGATGAGGACTTTGTCCTAAAGGCAGGGCAGGACAAGACGTCTGTTTATCTGCTTGACCGTCAAGGAGGTTGTTGTTGTTGTTGTTGATCGGTTTTTGACTTTTGGCTCCGTTTCGTCGACACAGGGCTGAAGAAGTGGGAGGAGGAGGAGGTTGTTGTTGTTGTTGATATTGATTGGTTTTTGACTTTTGGCTCCATTTCGTCGACACAGGGCTGAAGAAGTGGGTGGAGGTGGGCAACTCTGGGGTCTTCAGACCGGAGATGCTGCTGCCCATGGGTCTGCCTGAGGACGTGTCCGTCATCGCCTGGGGTCTGTCTCTGGAGAGGTAAATGTTCACCGCTGCTCTCTTCCATGAAGTTTTATTTCTTCAACATAGAAACAACACAGAACAGAACCAGGACCAGAACCAGTCTCTGTTGTTCTGGTCCAAAAGTATATAGAGGACCAAGTTGAAGGTGGGGGGGTCTAACCTTCACCGTCTGTCCCCCAGACCCACCATGATCAAGTACGGCATCAACAACATCAGAGAACTGGTGGGACACAAGGTGAACCTGCAGATGGTCTACGACAGTCCCATCTGTCGCCTGGACTCCTGAGCCACACCCCCACCCTGTGGTCTGTGGTTCAAGACCGACTCTGCCACAGGGGGGCAGCACTTCTGACAAACATGATCATGATGGTTTGAACTGTGCTGCTCTGGACCAGACTCTGTTACAAACAGGAAGTGATTAAATTAACAATAAATGTTTTTTCACATACTTCAGTCTGAGGTTGTTACAGTGATTTTGTTGTTGTTGTTTGTTTAATTTCTCTTGAAGACCTGGGATTAGGTTTGACCTCCATGACCTCTTGGAGATCTAGGTTGTAAAACACTACGTCCTGCCAACAGTCTGACTCTGTGGAAGTACAAGTACACCAGGGTGAAGTACTGTGAAGTAAAATAAGAATCCTCCCAGAATGTTGGGGTGAAACACTGACATCATGTGGTTAAATTGTGAATTACACCTGACTGGATTTTTATTATTGTTTTGAAATAATATTGAAGTTATTGAAATAATAACTGTCTCCCGGTTCTCTGAAGGCCACGTCAAGGTTTCTCCAAACTGAGCATGAAGTTACGGTGGTGTTAATCTGAGTGTCAGTCAGATTACAGCGTCGACATGTGATTAGAGCGCAGGATTAACAGGTGGAATCACTGGGGCTGCCTTCAGTCGAACACTGACCGTCTAATCCCTGTGTCTGAAAATAACAGTCCAGTCTGATGATGATGATGATGATGACGACGATGATGATGATGATGACGACCTCTGCAGAGTCACATCAGTCACAGTAAATTCGTCTCCTCGACTTTATTTTCCCGCAGACTTGATCAGTGTTTGATCCGTGACTTTTGAGAATCCATTTCTTTGTTTCTCGATGTCGTAGCTCGTGGTTTGTGGTCAGTGAAGGTCAGATTTCCTTCATGGCGCCCGTTGTCTCTCTGTTTGCTTCTGGACTTCCAAAAAAGTTGATGGAGCTGTAGCTGTTTGGACTGTGTAGGTTTGGGAAGAAGGAAGGCATGGAGGGGATGTACGGGAGGGCAGCCACCAGCAGGGGGCTGGTCTGGGGGCTTTCTTCTGTCGGCAGGGGGATGACCACGTCGTCCTGGTCCCACACATGGAAGGCGTTGTGAGCAAATGGGTGTAAGGAGGGGGGGTGGCTGGAGCCCAGGAGGTGAGACGGCTGCTTCTTGTCCAGGTCTTCATCAGCAGCTGGTCCTAACATGCAGTCTGGACCAGAGAAGACACAAACCATGAACAGGACCAGTCTGTGGTCAATAATACAACTGTCCTTCTCTGGACCCCAGACCAGTGAGAAACACCATAAGAATCGTCATCATCTAGACTCCATCTCTACAAATACATCTGAAAGTCATTTAAACATGTACTGCTTCAAATGAGGTGTAAAAACTGCAGTTTTTCTGGAGGATACTACCTGTGATGTCAATGGCCAGGTCCTTGATCAGATGTCCAACTATGGCGTAGGCCACTCCCACCACGACCAGAGCCGCCATCAGCAGATAGATGACGGCCCGGGGCAGGGGGACCAGGTCCCTGACCTGAGGTTTGAACTGTTTGTACAGCGGCTCGTCCATGAACGACGGGTACGGAGTCAGAGTCTGGGAGTCCAGAGAGGAGTTCCAGCTGGACGACTGATAATTATTCATGTTGAAGGGCGGGGCTTGTCCGTCCACAGACGCCGCTCTCTTATTGGATTTCCTTGTCACTCAGACTTAGACCGCGTTCCACCGAGAACGAGTCTTTACCACCTGGAGCAGAACAGATCGGACCTGAGGAGGAAAACGTGTCAATGTTGTAAAAAAACCCCAAAGAATCTCCTACTTCATGTCCCTGAGTGGACGCTCCCTGCTGCTGCTCTGTCCGTGGTGCTGAAGTGAAGCCCACGTCCCCTCTGTGTCCACTGGACCACTGTTAGGCCCCTCCTCTTCCTCCCCCTCCCACACTGACTCGTCTCCTCCTTCAGTTCAATGGCCACATTCTGAAAAGACCTTTGACCTTTGCCCTGAATCTGGACCGTTCCTGTGTGTGTGTGTGTGTGTGTTCTGGTTCCTGGTCCACGTGTGGACGTCATTTTTTAAACTTTATTCCCTCTGACAGGACGAACAGTCAGTAACATACAACCTCAGTGATGACAGGACAGAGAGATTAAAAGGGGAGGTGGGCTGTGGGGGGGGCACAATGGATTATATAAACACTGTGTAGGACATGTCCGGCCACCGTGTCCCACCAGGGATTTTGTCCATTTTTTAATTCCCTCCATTTTAAAGAGACAGGAGCAAACATGGAGTGGGCGGAGCCTCATCACGTCCTCACACTGGAGGTACAGATTTGTGACTCGTATTTTTGAACAGAAAGTTTTTATTTTACTCTGAAAGGAGAGAATTTTTAGTCATTTAATTTTAATTTTCACAAAACAATCATAATATTTATATTTAATATATTTACTGTTGATGTTTTAATGCAGCAAAACTATTGTTTTTAAAAACATATTTTAACAATGTATTTTCATGACCACTTCAGTAACTTTTTATTACAGTTGTTTTTAAAGTGAACTCTTGACCCCTGATGAACCGGGCCTCAAAAACAACTCACACTCAACCAAACAGTTTATTGTTGAACAACTGCTGCAGCAAATATAAAAATATTTCTCTTTAACTCACAAATCTACATCAGAACTGGTTATAATTACTGTGTCTGACCTTTGACCCTGGACTCACAACATTTACAGTTAGTGTTTTACAGCAGCAGAGTTCAGGGGGACATCAGTTGACGGTGAAGGACTGCAGTCCTGTGATGGCCCGGCCCAGGATCAGGGCGTGGATGTCGTGAGTTCCTGAGGAGGAGACGGGAACCAGGAGTTAGAACAGACAGAAGGTAGGAGTCATATATAAATATATGTATCAATCCAGATGAATCCATTCAACATCAGACATGTGATCTCCTGTGACTGACATCCTGAAGCTAGAAACATACAGGTATCATTTATGGCCAGAAGAGGGCACCCTCTGCCCTCGTGACAACTGAACTCTGCTTACAGCGCAAATGAAAAATAAATGCGACTTTCAGGTGTTTTTTTAACTTACAGATACAACTTGTAATGAGAATCGATGGCGCCCTCTTGTGGCCATACATTGTATTTGGTACATTTTTAACTTATGTCTTCATTTTAAAACCCGTTACAGGACCTAAACCCAGTCTGGAGAAACCCGTCAGTTCTCCTCCCTCACCTTCGTAGGTGTTCACAGACTCCAGGTTCATGACGTGGCGGATGATGTGATATTCATCTGCGATGCCGTTTCCTCCCAGCATGTCTCTGGCCTGTCGGGCGATGTCCAGTGATTTACCACAGCTGTTCCTCTTCAGCATGGAGATCATTTCTGGAGCAGCTCTGGAGAAAAAAAACAGACGTGACCTCGACGTGACCTCCACCTGGACCACACGCTGCACACAGGTCAATATGTCACTCACTTCTTCTCATCGATGAGCCGACCCAACTGCAGGCACGACTGCAGGCCGATGCTGATCTCTGTCAACATGTCAGCCATTTTTTTCTGTATCAGCTGATTCCTCGCGAGCGGCACGCCAAACTGGATTCTGGGCGACAGAACCAGAACTTTGTGTTACCTTGATGGTTTGTGATTCAGAACTTCAGCTCCTGTGACCTCTGACCTGTCTAGTGTGTACTGACGAGCTGCATGGAAGCAGAACTCCGCGGCACCGAGAGCCCCCCACGCAATACCGTAGCGGGCGTTGTTCAAGCAGCCGAACGGCCCCTGGACGCAGCGACAGACAGTGATGACAGATGAGTGCAGTTCAGAAACGCAGCATCAACGACAGTCACCGTCTGACTCACTCACCCCCAGGCCAGAGATGTTGGGCAGCAGGTTCTCCTCAGGAACCTCCACCTCGTCCATGAGGATCATGCCGGTGGAGGAGGCTCTGAGGGAGAACTTCCCCTCGATCTTGGGGGTGGAGAAGCCTTTCATGCCCCGCTCCAGGATGAAGCCACGCACCTTCCCATCATCACATTTGGCCCAAACCACGGCGATGTCTGCCACTGGGGAGTTGGTGATCCTGACGATGGAGGTAAGTGAAAGTCAAGAGTCGTGAGACCTGGATTTGCTCCAGGAAATGGAACGCACAGATCACTGGATTACACAGATTAGGATTATATATATAAAAAAAAACAAACAGCTGAACGTTAGTCCAAGGTTATGGTCAGATTCATGCAAAGGTTGCAGAAACAGGTTTGAACAGTGAACAGCTCCACCGTGTGGACAACTACTGACATGTCCGGTCTTTTGTTAAAACAATCCTTGAACAGAAAAAAGTAAAACAATTGGATAAGATAAAGAAAACAAAAACTCATGTTAAAGGTCACGACAGTTGGACAGAACAAAACAACTCACTGTTACTAATTAATAACTAACCAATAATTACCAGAAAGTCAGTCTGTAGACGGCTAACCACTCACCAGGTCTTGGAGCCGGTCAGGGAGTAGGTGCCACTGGATGGATTGTATTTGGCTCTGGTCTCCATACCCCCAGGGTCACTGCCGTGGTTGGGCTCCGTCAACCCGAAGCACCCCAGGATCTCACCAGACGCTGGGGGTCAGAGAAGGTTATATCATCAGCACTAGTTAAACAGGAATAACTAGTAAACCTGGCTAACACTGTGGCGTTTCTCCTCTCACCCAGTTTAGGGAGGTACTTCTGTCTCTGCTCCTCCGTGCCGTAGGCGTTGATGGGATGCATGACGAGCGACGACTGCACGCTCATGACAGAACGGTAACCACTGTCCACCCGCTCCACTTCTCTGGCGATTAAACCGTAGGCCACGTAACTTGTCCCCGCGCAGCCGTAACCTTTTTATCAAGGACGGGAGAAGAAAAGAACATCTGCCCACACTGACGTCTGACACACACACACGTGTACGACATTATAAACAACCCTCACGTGTGTGTGTGTGTGTGTGTGTTCAGACTGACCTTTAATGGTTGGACCCAGGACCCCCAGCTCCCCCATCTCTGACACTATTTCTCGATGAAATACTGTAATTAAAGCACATCACTGTGATGCTTTTCTTTATTCTGAATATATTAAAGAGACAGAACCTGACGAAAAAAACACTGAGATTCCTCACTCTCATTTCTGTTTGCCATCAAGATGCGGGGCATGAGTTTCTCTTGGCAGTAGGTGCGGAATGAGTCCCTGATCATGACCTCCTCCTCCGTTAGCTGACCCTCCAGGTCCAGGGCATCGCGCCAGTTGAACTGGACCTTCGCTGTGACACAATCAAAGGTTAGAAACCTTCAACCTAACCTGGGTTTGTTTCAAGGTGTAATGATTTGATCAACACCTACGTGTTTTGGTCTTCTGCTGACTCTTCTCTGCATCTGTGAAAACAAGGTGACGATTTCAGACATCACTGTCTCTTTTATGACAACGTGAGATTCCATGACACAGACTAAGTCGTCGTTCTTGTGCATCCGACACGTACTAACATACCCTGACTGACAGGTGCTGCGGTGGCGCTCTGTGCTCTGACAGCCGAGAAGATGACACCTCGCTGAGGGTTGAACAAGCGACGACACACGGCGCTCCTCAGTGCCATGGTGGAAAATAGAACTGTAAAAACAAAACAAAGCGCTCATACTACATTTATACTGCGTCGAATGATATCATTTGTTACTGAAACACGGCTAATACAGAGTAGTAACTCCACTGAAGCTACAAGCTAACAGCGTAGCCAAATGTGAATCGTTCAGTTTAAAAGACTTTAATGTTAGTATTTCGGACTGACTCGGTGGACAGTAAATATCGTTGACTGTCTGTTAAAAAGACTGTTAACATTTTACCTGTTTGTGTGAGACAACAGTCCGTTTGAGGTCCTCCTTACTCTGCCTCTCAAGTTGACAATGCAGCGACGCACAGTTGCCGAACAACCCTGTGACGTCATCACGTAAAATGGTTTGGCGGTGGTACCATATTTAGTGTGGCGTCGTCAATAAGAACATTTGCAGGTTCTCCGCGTTAATTACAACTTTGTCTGTTTTTGACGCACGACTTCCCTGAGTTTTTGCTGCTGCTGATAAACAAACATCATGATATAAAACAATACACACATTCCTTATACCTGACCAGTCATCATCACTCAAGATGGCGGCTTTCGGTAGACGCCGTAGCCAATGTGACTAACTGTGATTGGTTTATTACGAGGGCGTGTAGCGGGAGGGAGGGCTGACGGTCCTCAGAGCTCCAGAGAAGTACGACCGTGAAATTCTCACCGGGTCATGTCCTAGAAGAAGACAGTAAACAATACTTTGTTCGATGCAGTTGTGGGTGGTTTATAATGACAATGAACCTGTTCGGTTCGTGTTGTGTTCTGTTGTTATTTGGAAATTTTAAACCTTTAGTTTTATTTTACTTTGCTTAGTTTTGCCACTCTGACTCACGAAGTACTGAAAACCGTCCTTAAAGATTTCGTTGAATGTATGAAGTTTCTCTTTAGAGCCGAAGCTACACGTTAATAATATGCTAACATCGCTGTGGTTTGTGACATAACCATTTCCCCTAATGTCGTATTTCAATCGAGTTTGAAATACGAACTTGAAATACGAGAAATACAAGATCGTTCCATGCTGTCCTGCATCTGCCTTTCACTTGGTTCTAATGACGCCGAAGTGCTTTGGCGACCTCTAGGGGAAACTACTGCTCCGTCGTATCCATCCATTATCAGCCGCTTATTCCTTAGTTCTAGTCTGATCAAATGGCTGTTCCACTTTGTGGTTTAATAACGTGTCCCACGTTGTCCTAACTAAACGTAATCTTTGTCCAACACCGTAGTGACCAGGACCAGCTCACAGTCACTGTTACAATCACAGTCACTGTTACAATCACAGACACTGTTACACCACAGTTACAATCACAGTCACTGTTACACCACAGTTACAGACACTGTTACACCACAGTTACAGTCACAGTCACTTCCACATACAGCTGCGTGGGGTTTTTGGTAACTTTATATTTTTTGCCAACTGCAGCATGTTCTGAGATTACTCTGGAGATTTAATGATTTCATGATTTATTTCAGTGAACCAACAGTAGCAGTAGACTGTCCTGTAGTAGTTACTTCCTGCTTTTCAGTCTAAAATAAAGGCCCAGATTTATAAACACCAAATTAACACTAAATCTTACATTCCTCACAACTGCTACACGTTTTAGTGTACATTCTCTGCTAGGCTAATGCTAACAAGTTTATTTTATCTGATCGAAACCAGAAGACAACGTTTAAATGTCGGTGTAAACGCAGAGCCGCAGTCAGTGACGTCACTTACCGCTGATTCTGAGATAGAATCCGGTGGAACGTCTGTGAAGGACATTTTTAATCCACTCCCACACGAGCGTTGTATGATATATTGTGGTGTTTAACTTTACTTGTTCAAGTTTCCCGCCTCCTCCGTAGGTTCACAGCAGCTGTGGTGACTAACTGTGAAACTAACCTTTTGATTCCAGAGTCTAGACACTGTGACATTTGGTAGATACATTATTTATGAATATTCTTTCTTAATAATTAATCATTTTATGAGACCAACGTCACATATTTTGACGTCGAATAATGTTAATAAACCCACAGTAGCCGTTATCATTCAACTAACTACAACAAACGTTTTTTTTATTTGAACAGTAGTCAACTATTACACCCTCATTCACTTAACGGTGCTAAAAATGAAGCCACGGCCCCGCCTCTGCTCAGCGATTGGCTCATACTGCTGTCGACCACTGTGTCCTGCGTTCTGATTGGCCATCTCTCTCCACGAAGGAAACCCCTTTAAATGTTCCCTGTACGGTGGGGATTTTGGACGGGACTTGTTCCAAGTGTCCGGAGTGACTGAGACTCGGCACAGTAGGCTGGAAATATGCAGTAGCCGCCGCCTGTGAGCTTCTCTGGTCCCGAGGAAACACTGCCAACATGGAACTGGATGAGAAACCACACTATGGTATGGACTTTTGGCCGGAACGTGCACGATTTACTGTGTTTGTCCTGGGATCTCGAACGTGTGCACGTTAACGTCAGCTAGTTTTGTTTTGGTGCGTGATGTGACTGTTGGCACATGTGTCGGGTCAGTTTTCAGATCTTTTCAGACTTCGGACTGTGGTGTGAATCAACTGTGGTCCCTGTTGTGTTTAAACGTCCACGGCGGCACTGGTTCGTGTCACGGTGACTGACAGTGGAGAAGTTTTCTTTGGAACTTTATCGAAGTCCGTCCACAGACCGTGGGTCGGACGGTGTCTCCTGCTGTGTGTTACCGTGGGACGTGTCCCAGCTGCTGGGCTGCCTGAGCAGTTGTTGCCACATTCCTCACCCAGACTGGACTGGTCTTAAACTGGAGGACTGTTAGAAAAGTCCTCCAACCTGAGAATGTGCTCTGTCGGCTGTCAGCCAGGTGGGGGCAGGATCACCTGGAGGTGAGACAGGGGAGATGTCACACTGACCACCCCTCCCTTTCCCCCCCGACCCCCCCCCCCAACATTCCTCACTTCAGTGTGTGTGTGACTGTAATTATGCTTTCCTTCCTTCTCCACGCCCCCCCCCCCCACACACACACACACCAGCTCGTTATAAATGCGTTTTGTCAGTGGCACACCCTGCTGTAAAGGCCAGATATGGAGAGGAAGAGAGAGAGAGAGAGGGAGAGAGAGCACGTAATTAGGAGGAAGCAAATGAAAGTTCAACTCTGAGACCAGAAAAAGATCTTATTATCATAACGTGTGCGGAACTGTGTTTAGAGGAACTTCAATGTACTGTTGTACAGAGAGAGAGAGAGGAAGGGTGAGGGAGGAGGAGGGAGGGAGGGAGAGATACAGATGACTAAAGTGACCTCTGTTAAATGAGGTCAAATGTCAACAACATCAACAGATTCCCAGGATTAGGATCAACCTTTGTTTGAAAAACGGATGTTTGTCTGTTCAATTCCCATCTGAACACAGGGAGGCGCTGTACTGAAGTGGTCTGAGCTACTGTGCTCTCATTGGTCCATCCAACTGTTGTCTACAGTCCTGTCTGCTGTTGGTTTTTCAGAGGCTGTTGTGTCTGTTGTGACTCTGGTTCTACACAGCAGCCTTGAGAACCATCTGGAGTCGGAGAACGTCTGTGGAACAGAGAACGTCTGTGGAACAGAGGTCTGTGGAACAGAGAACATCTGTGGAACAGGATGGAGAAAACAACATGGACATGAACTGAGGTTCCTGTTCCACATGTTGAAGTGATTTCAGGCGGAGACAGATGAAGAAACCTCAATGACAGGTTCCTGGAGCAGAAACGCAGCCGTGCCCTGGTGGCCATCACTGATAATTACAGGCCATATTTAG